TGAATACCTGTAGCAGAACGGATTTTTAAGCCAGCTAAATTGTTATAATGATTTGTAAAATTATGTTTTGCCAAAACCCATAGAACTTTACAACACAAAGAATGACCCCTAATATAGCTATGAACTTTAGTTAATAATAAAAAATATATCAATTGATTCACAACTGTAGCTTAAGTACCACACCAGTACAAATAGAGAAAGGTAAGGAAACATTTCTGTTCAATTTTTTCTTGAACCTAATATTATTCAAAATAATATTTTTTAAAAACGTGCATTAACTTTTTTAAAGTTACTTTTATAATTTTTAATTAATTTATTTATTTTAGAAGGGGATACAGCAATAAAAACGTTTGCAGTTAAGACCTTTGCCTTCTGAGTTTAAACCCAGTGGGGAGGACTAACAATCACCCAGATAAATAAGTAATATATATGGTATTACTAAACTAAGTATTAAGGAGGTGAAACTAAAAGCACGAAATGTACATATGAATGTTAGCAGGTATTTAAGGCCACACTGTAAAGGTAAAAGTAATATCTGAATCAAGTTCTTAGGAAGAGGGTCCAGGGCAAGCTGTAAGCTAACTTGGGAAGAATAATTCCAGGAAAAGAAGGCAAATGTAAAGAAAAAGGAGGCAAGTGTACTGAGGCACGAACATGTGTAAGTTGCCCAAGAAGCAGCCAGGCCAGTATGACTTCAGAGCACAGACTAGAGAAAAATAGTAGAAAGGAGTTTGGAAGGTAATAGAGGGTCAGATCATTATATAAGTCTTACACATCAAAGTAAGAATTCTGGCTCTCAGTCAAAGTGAGAAAGGAAGCTTTGGAAGGTTGAGTTGAACTGAGTTGTGATGTCATGACTTGTATTTTAAAGAGAACCATTCTCCATACTGTGTTCAGAATAGACTGAAGTACAGCAAGGATCAAAGCAGGGAAACCAATTAGGATCTGATTGCAGTAATCCAGACAAGAGAAGCTAAAACAAGCAGGATTTGCTGAGGGGCTAGCTATGGGTTATGAGAAAAAAAGGAGTGTCAGGAGAACACCAAGATTTGTGCCCTAAGTGATTGAAAAAATGAAGTTACTATTCACTAAAATGAGAAATGCTATGGCAAAGAGTTTGAGAGGTGTAGTGGAAATGGCAGTAGAGACAGTGGAGTGAATAGCTGACAGCTTCAAGTTCAGGACAGAGGTCAAAAAGACTCCTTTTCTTAAATTAAATGGGTCCCCAATTAAAAAACATACCAAAGTATAAAAACAGAGACTTTTATATCATAACTTTATTCTTTTGCCCATAGACTGGATAGGTGAAATACTTTAGCAACTATTTCTTATAAATTTTCAGTCATAGCACATTTCTGTGTTTTAAAATGTATATATTAAATTAGCATATCTAACAAGGATAACTTCAAATAATTATTTGTTTTCCAATAAGGTAAGGAAATATAATTTATTACTTTTCTGAAATCTTTGTTTTATTCCCCTTAGTCCAAAAACTTACTTTGAGTAATATAAACTGTCACAAACTATTATGCCTATAAGAGTATATGTCTGAATTAGATTTTTCACGATGATGGCTGACTTTATAAAGATCATTTATTCAGTAATTTAGAACTAAAGATCAACTACTTTGCATATTTTATTTTTCACTTTTCTAACCAAGTAAAAACTAAATGAATATTAATTCAAAGGTTTGAATACTTAAAGCACTATCAACATAACTTTTGCAAGTTGATTTAGTGTCGGGTCTCTTCTTCTCACACTCATAGTTATGCATGCAAAAGCTTGTTACTTTAAACTCAAGTAAAACAGATTTATTCTAAGGCTGAATAAAAGCAAGTGTTTTTTGATGTGGCTTTTTATCCTATGAATATTATTCTTCTGATCTGAAAGCATTCAACTTTTACATATTAAGAACAATGATAAAAAGAACAAGTGAGGGGTTTCAATTTTAAGTGTCTTCTGCCACAGCTCCCATGCAGCTTTTCCAATTTGACCAAGAACTTCAAAAACAAAAGAACTAAAATGTTACCTTCCTTCTACCTCCCAATTTTCTGATTCCAGAGGAAGAACTCTCAAAACTAGGCAGGAGGGGGATAGGATATATGTGCAGATATTATAAATGTGTCTTTGATTGGTGGCAGCAGGGGAAGGAGTGCTGGAGCAATGACACCAGCAGAAGTTTTCCTTTGGGGATATGTGATGCCTATGAAAAAAGCTCTCTTTCAAAGCAGTGACGGGCAGTGGCCTGGAAAAACCAATGTAAACAGTGCAGTGTGTGCTCAGAATTTAAACTTATCACATAATCACTTCAAAGTAGGAAAGAACCAGAGATGGTTATCAGTGAATATGGCATTTATTAGTGAAGAGATTAAAGTATCCACAAAAGCCCTTCTAGGGACAAGGAAGAACACTGGAAGCAATAAACCTGCCTTGGGGAAGCAGAATCAAGAACAGAATTCAATATTCATGCACAGCAATAGAAAATAGGGAAAAGGACCAAGATTTATTTGTATAAAGATAAAGGAGAATATTTACCTTGTACAGAGATAAAGAAAAAAAAATCCAATATGGAACTTAACAATAATTAAAAGATGGAGGCAGAAAAGGAGGAGCTCTGTAGAAAAAAAAAAAAGGAAGAAAGAAAAATTTTCAGAAAATTAAAAGAAACAACATAGTCCTGGAAACAGTCTAATGCAGGATCCAGAAAATTTTTTTTCAAGAAGAAGGCAAACATTCTAAATAGTTACCAACTACTGAGTATTTACCATTTATCAAAGCTGTTTCAAGTATATAATATGTATTATCCCTTTAAATTCTCACAATTATCCTATATCAGCCATATATATATATATATATATATATATATATATATAGAGAGAGAGAGAGAGAGAGAGAGAGAGAGAGAGAGAGAGAGTTACCCAAGATTATAAAACAATTAAGAATTCTAAAAGTGGACACTGAATGTTCTCAACACAAAAATAGTAACTATATAAGATGTGTATGTTATTTAGCTAGATATAATTATCCTACAATGTATCTGTAAACTTCAAAACACGGTGCACACATAAATGAAAATGGATAGAATTTAATATATCAACATATAATTTTATCTATTAATTAAAAATAAAAGGGAAATGGAATTCAGAAATATATAGCTGTTATGAGACAATTGTAGAAATTTATTTATTAATACTCAATGAAAGGCGAGTGACTCACCTGAGATGGAGATTCAACCAAGAGATTTTATTGGGGGGCTTCCCGAAGAGGAAGAAAAGGAGAGGCAGAGAGTAGAGAGAGGAGAGGCAGAGAGTAGAGAGAGGAGAGAAAGAAGAGGAAGAGAGGAGGAAGGCAGAGAGGAAGAGGGCAGAGAGCAGAGAGGAAGAGGGCAGAGAACAAGAGCTTGCAAGCTTGGGCTTAAGAAGGGTTGCAGAGGCAACAAGGCGGGTGCTGATTGGCAGGGTGACTCAGGAAAGATGAAGGAACCCTGTGTCCTGTGGGGATTGGTTGAGAAAACTTTTGAATTTGGCACTCTTCAGCTTGGTGCCCTTTGAAGAGGAGGGGGAGGGGTAAGGGATTCCTGATCTTCTCAGGAGAAGGGGGAGTCTCCCACACACTCAATAGCTTATAAATATTTACTAAGAGGCAGGTATTGTTCTAAGCACATGAGCTATGTTAACAAAGACACAAAGGAATCCTGCCTTCAAGGAGCCTGTATTCCACAAAGATGTAAACTATAGTGTGAGGTGATACATTCTTTGGGACAGGAGGACTTAGAGCAGAATACTGAACTTGGAAAATGTATGGCGGAAGATGTAAATTAATGAAACCAAATTTTAGGTGTTTTTTAGTGAGTACTTGGCTTATAATAATAACAATCTAATCATATTTACTTTATGAATTGATATGTTTATCTTACTTCTGTCATCCTATGCTGTTCTTATTCTTTCTTGGTGCTTCTTTACTCTTTGCCAAGTGGTCAATTTTATTGTTGTCTGTCCTGTGTTTATAAAGAGATTTTTTTCCTATTGATGATTATCTTAAAATTATGAGTAAACTATATTTCTCTCCTAATATCAAATATTGGAAGTTCTGAACGGCAAGGTCTCAGATATATCTTCTTCCCTGTTCTATCACTGAGCTTATAATAATAATAGGAGCATTGAGGTGTATTTGTTCTCTGGATGAATAAATTAACAAGTGTTAACTACATGATCATAACTCTACTCTGAAGCCAAAGACAGACTCTGGAGAAAGAAATAAGGATTACAAAGCAATGCTAAGGGCTAGGGAGATAGTTCAGTGGTGGAACACTTGCCTAGCATGTGTGAGACCCTGGATTCAACCCCAAGTATCACAAAAAGAAAAAAAAGTGCTGGTGTTGTGGCTCAGGTGTAGAGCACTCACTTAGCAGGTGCAAGGCCCTGGGTTTGATCCTCAGCACCACATAAAAATAAAATAAAGATATTGTGTCCATCTACAACTAAAATTAAAAAAAGAAAGAAAGAAAAAAGAAAGCAAATGCTGAATAAAGTAGAAGGAGAGAACTCCACCCAAATTTTAATAATAATTTTGCAGCTTTAAAAAGCTCATTCATTCTCTTAGCACCTCTATTCTTTCACCTGAAAAATGGGAGAATGAGTGGATTAGAATGGAAGCTCATTATCTTTTTATAAACCATGAATCTTTTGAGAAACCTAAAAGACTATGGATCTTCTCTACAAAGGATTAATCCATATATCATAAAAATAAGTCCTCATGTTTTATAGGATCATGAAATACTTTAATGCTTATATTATGAAAATATCAATAAAATGCTTCAAACTTGTAAAGGTAATAATTCACACACAAAATAACTGTCACATTTTAAAATCAAGAAAGCCTAAAATCTCCAAGCTGAAAGAAAGCATTTATCCAAAGAAGGAAAGAAAACATTTCCAGATATTTTGAAATTATTTTAAATATGAAATTCCAAAATCTTATTATATTTTTTCATAACACATTTATTTCAGGTAGGGATGAAGTTGTTTAATCCTAGCTTTTCTTGACAAGCCAATCCTGATTGGTCGGTTGCATGTCTTAAGTGGATGTACTCTTGAAATGCCATGTGAAAAATGACTACCTAAAACATAAGACAATAAAAGTTACATTAAAAAGTAAAAATTACCAATATGTTTTAAAACTCTTTACTTACTACTATTCATAATAGTAGCAACATATGCCAGGCATTAACTGAACACTTTTTATTTATGTTACAGGCACTCTAAATGCAATAATTTACTTAATTCCCTATCCAGTTTTAAAATGTGGAAACATAAAGCACCGAAAAGTTGAGTAACTTGCCCAATATAAAATAACAACTAAATAAAATCAGCATTCCAGTCAGGCAGTCTGATTTAACAACAACAAAATGAAATAGGTTTTAAAACCAACTTCACGAAGTAACGTTAAGCATGTTATTTTTTCAATTAGAAGTTAAACAACATTGCCATATTGTTAGTGGTTATGTTTGGTTTGTAAAAGAGATTACTGTCAATATAGAGCTCAAATGCATTCCATCGGTTATACATTCTATGCAGAGCTCTGATTTTAAAGTTTTTATTTAACACCACACTACATCATTTTTAAAGAAGTTCAAAACATTTCACAGAGGTATATCTGTTGCTAACTCAGTTAACTAGATATGAAGATACATTGTATTACCTTTGATCACACTTTACAACCTTTGTATATTTTTGTAATGCTAAAAATATAAGAATGTGATGATCATCTTGAAAGTTCTAGAACATAACTAAAGTTATTACCTTCCCTCAGTAGATAATTAAATTTTTCTTCCTTACATTCATCAGGAAAAACAGCAGGTCTTTTAGGTAAAGGTTTTTTACCATCTGGAAGTAAAAGATTGATATGTTACAGCATAAAGTGACTTTTATTTCAAAAATGTTAACATTATAAAACACATTATTTTCTCAGAAATTCTTCCCTCAGTTAGCTTTTAATTTTTAGAGAAATTAAGTAAGACTGTTCAGAACTCCTTTTTAAAAAGTAATTACTTTTTCCTTCAACTTCAGTATATTAATCAACATTCAAATAGACCTTTATTGAACAATAGTGTACACATCAATAAACATTTGCCTTCAATTTCATCTCTGTCTTCTTTTCTGACAAAATTATAAATTTATCCCACGGGGAAAAAGCAGAAATTGTCTTATCATGGAAAAGAACATACCTTCCTTGGAAGTAGAATAGAGTAATTGTTCCTTTGATGTTCTATAGCAATGCTCTTTAGGAACTTCCTGTTCTCCATTATTGGGTATTGTTTTCCATTTAAATAAACCTTGGTGAGTTTTATGCATACTAAGACCTGCTACCTTTTCACAGGGCAAAGATGTGTGGGTTTTGTGGGCTACAATCATTTTCAAATCTTTTTCTGTCTCTATTTCTTCCTCCTCAATATCATTACTTTTTCCAAAGTAATTTTTTTGCCCATTAGTTGTTTCCACAGTGCTTGGAATTTCATTTTCCTTACTAATTTCATGAAACATATGAAGTTCTTTAAGTACTAAATCAAATTTACTCTTCATCTCAAAATCTATTTCTATTGTCAGAGCTTCTGATGATAAACATCTAGCATTTAAATCCTGAAAACATTCATTGTTTTCTTCACTTGAATTAGCTTCAAACTGAAGATTAACATATAATGCAGAGTCATTCTTTGGATGAGAAAACTTTGAATTAGCTAACTCACTTTCTTGCAAAATACTCTCATATTCATTTCTGTCCCTTACATTATTTTGATTAACAGACTGAGTTTCTTCCACATGTGCTTTCTTTCTCATTAATGACCCTGACTGCACAGAAAGCCTGCCATGCATTGGGGAAAAACTATCGTCCTTTCCTATTGGATTATTGTTGTGAAGTTGGCAGATATCTGTTAAACTTTGTGTTGTGACTTTTACTTCTTTCTTCAAAACAAAGTCATATTTTTTTTCTTTGTTTTCACTTAGCAAGTTCTTAGAATTTGGCACTTGAATTGTACATGTGGTATTGACCTTTTCCCTATGTAATGAATTTTGGCTTGCCAATATGGCCTGTTGCCTAACATTAAAGAAATCTTCAAATATGCATTTAGAATTGAATTTACTAATCTTATGGTGTTCCTGCTTTCTTTCAGTATCTAAATCTTTGTTATATGTTTTTATTTCATAATATTTTTTATTATTACATGCATGGCTATTCTGTATAAATTGAGGACCAGACTTCAGGTGTGTTTTAACAGTATTAAGACTACAGTGAGCCCAATTTTCTACATTCATGAGTTGTTCAGGACAATTCATATTCTTGTAACTAGATTCCTTTGTCAAAGAAATTTCTTCCATGTCATCAAATTCCATTTTTTCATGTGTTTCAAAAGTTGTCCTGAAGGAATCCATGTTTTCTTTCTTAGATCCTTCAAGAAGTTGTTTGGTTTTAAACAGCTTTCTTTTCTTTAACAAAGGTCTCATATTATTTTCTAAGAGTCTTGAAAAAGTTAAAATCCATATTAGATATACAATAGAATTTTCCATTGTAATATTTTTTGGATGGTTTAAACACACTATCCATTTGAAAATACATCCTTCTTTCAATTCAGAATCATTTTCAATTCTTATTAAAGAATCAAAGTTACTGAACAAAGAAGCTCTGTTAATTTTCAAAAAGACATTTAAATGTTCTAAAACATGGGTTTGTAAATATTTGTCATTCTTTATGTTGACATTCATATTTCTGGTTGTTATATTTTGAATACCAATTTGCTTTTTGCCTTTCAAAATTTTATACCAGGCCAAAATATTATTATCTTTTTTATTTCCTGAAATGTTATTGAGGAAATTAAAAATTTCTGTAGTGAAACTTTGAAAAATCTTGCTTAAATCGAAGTCATTTTGTATAGTGTAGTATTTCAACTGTAGTATATTATCATTTTCTCCCTTACCATTTAACCAGTCAATTCTTATTAAATTTTCTTGGCTACCCAGCATTCCTATCATCAGAGGCTTTGACTGTTCACTCACATTCATGACTTTTGTATTGTAATAATCTTTCTTGTTTACAAGATCTTTTACTAGCAATTGTAGCGAATTCATTTCTCTAGGTTTTTTCATATTCTCACAGTTGATCTTGTAACTTTTCATAATCCAACAACTTTGCCTGTTTCTTTTCAAAATACGTCCTATGTTACAGTCCCAGTTTGGGGATTTCTCCAACCTGGTAGATATATAATTGTTCAGGCTTGTTACTGCTTCCTCCCGACTTGCCTTTTCTAGTGTTATAGTGAAATTCTTTTTAGAGTCTCTTACATCACACTTGATACTACTGTAATGATAGTATTTTAAACTGATCAAGTCTTTTTTACTCTCAAAATTGTTTTGGTTGCTGACTGACTGGGGGTTACTTCCATAATATCCAGTAAGATCATTTTCCACATCTACACTTTTTTTATCATCCTGTAACTTTTGCTTCTTAACATCAGGTCTATTTTGGGACCAGCAAATGTTTGTGAAATCCCTAACATATGCCTCAAGTTTGTCATTCTTTTTCTTTGCTCTTTCCTTTAAATAGACAAAGGACACGTTGCTATTTAAAACCGTTGGAAACTCAGGGATTCTTATTGTGATGCTCTCTCTAAAATAGCTGGGTTTGGCAATTTCCAAGCTGGGCTGGTTTTGAGATTTTGGTATTTTTAGTATAGATGACAAAATGTTATTTTCTTTTCGATTTGATGGCATAACACTGTCAACTTCACATCTGTTCTTAATTTCACCAAACGTTGATCTAGCTTCCTTGTAAAAGGTAACGTCTAAAAATGGGGTTTCTGCCTGCCTTATGTAACTAGTGTCTTTCAGAACCCTTGGAAACACCCTCCCTCGGTCCCGGTGTCTGCCTCCACGTCTGCCACGCGTGGAGGCTGCGGGCGGAGACAGACCGACCCCGGCCCGAGCTCCCCCACTGCAGGGCGCGCTGGAAGCGCCCCTGTCCAGCTGCCCGGGTCGGCACCCGCGAGCCCTGGGACCCGCGCGCACGCTCCGTGGGGCGAGGGACGGCGAACTGCTAGGCGTCGGGGGTCTGCTATCCTGGCCTCCCAGACTGCTTCTCTGCTCCCCGCCGACCGACTGCTCCACACGCGAGGCTGCGGGGTTACCAAAAATCGCATCCATTGGAATTAGGAAGGCCTCGAGGGGTCTGGGCGGCAACTCCCTGACCTGTACCTCAGACAAGCGAGGCAGCCAAAGCAGCCGCCACCCCGCCTCAGAGACTCCGCCAGGCTCCTCCAGACGGAGCCGCTTGCTACTAGGCGGTTGGGAATCAGGTTCCTCCGGAGAAGGTAAGGAGGAGGGAGGCTCCCTGAGATCGCCGAGCGGCGGCGTGGGGTGTGTGAGGGGCATGACGGCGCGCCTGAGGGATCTGTCTGAGGTCCCCGCCCGGCTCCGGCCTCTAAGAAGGCTAGAGGCGAATCGGCCCCGCCCCTAGCTCCACCCCGGACACGCCCCTGCATGCCCGATCCTGGCCATTCCCGGGGGGAAGCCCCACCCCGGACCCGCCCCTAGATCACCCCTCCGCGGACCCGCCCCGCCCCCAGCACCCCGCGCGCGGTTTGTCTCTCACTGCGTCCAAAGCGCTGGCCCGGGCCGTTATAGTGGCTATTTTTAGCGCCTCCTTCTGCGGCCGCCACTGTAGCTGGTCTAGGTGTTTTACTAGTCCCTCTGGGAAAATCAAAGGGAAACGCCAGAATCTCTCTTAAAATTCATGAATGGAAACACCTTTTTATAAAAAATTGTAAAATTCTGTTTTCCTCAGAAGAGGCTTCTCAGGGGCTTGTCCAGTAGAACCGCGCCTCTGTGAGCACCTGACCGGTCCGCGGCTGTCCTCCCGCGGCCACTTGGCCAAACCGTGGGGGGCAGACGGACGACCCTGCACTCAACCGTCTGAGCGTCTGGGGGAAATGTGTGGGATTCATTATCCAGATAGTCTTCCTTCGCTCTAGACTAAAAAGAAAAAAAAAAAAAAAAGTTTTCTCATACTCTGTGGGGTTTTCTTCCCAAATATTTTGGGCAAAATGAAGTTTGGTCTTCTCCGTTTAGAGAAGATGGTAAACACACAGAATGTCACAGTTCTGACTCATGCCTAATAATGAATTCTTTAAATGCCATTTCTTGTTGGTTTTTTCTCTGCTCTGACAATCCTTTCTTTATGATTTTTCAGTCAATCCTAATTTTTGTAAATTCCGTGATCATAAAGAAAGGGATTAAGAAACATATGATTACTGCTCAGTAATCAAAAATCTCAATCCTCTTGGTGGTTGTTTCAAAACTAGTATATTTTACTTTCCTAACAATGTATAGGAATAGCAATAATGGGCAACAGGAGTCCTGATTCCAGAATCTGTGGGGGCGTGTATAGCAATATATGACCACAAACTACTCTAGGTTCTGTTCATCAGCCTCGTGTCTTATACATACTTGTAGATGAATTTTGATTCCAATTCTAGGCATTTGATATTGCTTCAGTGTATAAATCCTTCTAGAGAAGTGCTGACTTAAATTAGGAAGCCCTTCAGTGTAAGCACTTCATCCACACTATAGGGATGTGAAAGTAGGCATCACACATCAGTGAGTTCTCAAGGTGCTATTTGAGAACTCTATATCTTACATTCTATTACCCAGATTTCCCCCAGATTTTTCGCAAATCTGCATTCTATTCTAATGTAATCTGTTCTATGCTTCTGATCAACGCATACAGACCAACTTCCATTGCTCAGGTAGATATATAAAGGGAACACTAGGAGCGACATATAATAGGAGCAAGGTGTTTTTGTTGTTGTTGTTTTGTTTTGTTTTTTTAATCTGTAAAGTAAATGTCATAGCTCTATGGGTTCTAGATTGATCTGTAACTTGGGATTTATTTCTTCATTTTACCAGTGTGACCAAAGATACATTTATTTTCTAGCTTTTTATCATGGATTATTTAACATCTGTGCATTACCCAAGAACTATAATTCAAATAAAACCTCAAAGTGTCAAACGTAATTCAACAATTGCTTGACAATGATGTCTAAGGCATTACTAGATATACAGAAAAGTACAGAATTTTTTTCTTTGTTTTTATCTTGCTGAAATTCTGATGAGTGAAGGTCTCAAAAAAAATGAGTCTTTTCTTGTGATGGCCACTGCCATTTCAAATAATACCTATTAGAACTACTGTTTGTGTGTTTTTCCTATTATTTTAATGTTTTAATATTTTATTTTATTTGTATTGGGGATGCCACTAAACTACATCCTCATCCCTTTTTATTTTGAGACAGGTTCTCACTAAGTTGCTGAGTCTGGCCTAGACCTTGCAATCCTCCTGCCTCAGCCTCCCAAATCACTGGGATTACAGGTACACACTACCATGCCCAGCTTTTCCTTTTTTATAAATTCTACTTTGAAATGGACCAGTTATAAATGAAAAATACAGAAAGTTGTGTCTTCAATTTATTCTAATCAAGATATAAATGAGATTTGTTCCATTTCAAATGACACACTTTCCTATATTACGTTACCTATCCTTCTTATAAAACCACTTACCTGAGCTTGTAACAGTAAACTGAGCTTTGAGGGCAGGCAGCATCCAATTGATTCCTTCTAGCTTGGTGTCTTATTACAGTTAGACTTGAAGGCATAAAAGGATGAGAGAGTTCAGGAGATAAACTCCATGGTGGAGACAAAAGTTAAGTTAGATGTTCACTCAGGGCAGGCACAACAGCACCGGCCTGCAATCCCAGCAACTGGGAGGCCTGGGGAGGAGGATTCAGAGTCCAAGGCCAGTCTCAGAAATTTATTGAGACCCTGTCTAAAAAAAAAAAATAAGAAGAAGAAGAAGAAGAACTGGGAGTGCTGCACAGTGGGAAAGCACTCCTAGATTCAGCCTTCAGTACCAAAAAAACAAAGAAGTTAACTCAGTACCCTGGTATGCTTCACCTCCATGATATGCCACATCCTTACAATGAGGTCCCTACCTTAAATTTTTTAACTTCATCTTTTCTATATTTTCTCCATGTTCTCTACCAGAATGTTTGTTTTCTTGCTATCCCAGTATGTTCTCAGTGCCCTTCTCTTTGTCCACCTGGCCAATTCCTCTGTCTTAAAGGTCCTACCCAAAAGCTAGCCCCACTTTAAAAGCATCTGTACCTCCTTTCTGTTGTCGCTAATCCCTGGGCAGAATCACTTATATCCTCATCAGTGTTCCTATAGCACTTTATTTCTAAACATCTTATTGTATTGAATTATTTATATGGCCTCTTCACTAAATTCTGTGAATTAAGACAAGAATTTATTCATTTTTATACCCTCACCTAAGTAATTCAGCTAATGAGAAAAAGTAAAATGACACTACTATGAATATGCCTTATGATCCAAATGGATTTTGTGGTTTCTTAAAAATGTTTTTAGGTTTCTTCTGTTTATTTTGCTTTGGTTTAAACATGCTAGGACAGAAATCTGCTTTTCTTAATTATATTAAAATACAATTTACATGAAAACTACTCCACCATGGAATACCAAGAAAATAAACATTCTGGTGTAGGGAGCATGAAGCAAATTGTAAAAAAGATGAAGCTGAAAAAGTCAACTTTAACTATTAAAGGTTTAATATCATTTCAGTTTCATGGTAGGACCAGAAATGTGATATGGCAGTTTTTCTTTTTATTTCTGTTAATAAATCATCTAAGTGGTAAATAAATATGCTAAACCTAAAGTTTTATCTCAGACTGAGAGATAAAAGATATTTTAAATACTCAATAAGAACCAGCAACAAAAATATTTAAAACAAACATGGGGATTAAAGAGGAAAATATCATCACTTACAAAAATATTTATAATAAATACAGCTTGAAAAATACAAATAACACTTTTTATCAACTCAATAAAAGCACTGGGTGAGAAAATATTTAAGAAAATGTGATACTGTGTATATCTGCAAGTACAATTAAAAGGTCAATAGAGCAATCTGTAACATAAATATCATCTAAAATGAAACAATGTCTATGCAAATGAGTTAAACTATAAACCTCCTCCACCTCCTCCTCAATTTTTATTTGAGGCATTATTGTCTATCCACTTTCCTAACCCAGAAAATTTTTTTAACAAAAGTTAGAGATATTAACTTTTTCTCTTCCTTGTTTTCCCCAACATCCAATCCCTAGGGCCCTGATATTAATCCCCACTTCTTTATCCATAATATTTCACATTTATTTCAAGCCCTCTTTCTGTAAACACTGTAATAAGCTGATCTTCATTTTACTAGTCTCTCTTCAACTGCCCAACACTATTTTAAGAGTTTTCTTCTTAATAAAATATTAATCATTTTGTTACTTCCTTACTTCTTTTGATTTTTCAACACTTATAAAACAAAATACAAACTTTTTAATTGGAAATATGTGTAGTCTCCATAGTTCAGTTCCAAACTGATTTTTCAGCTTCCACGACTATGTCCATGACATAACTTGCTTTGCTACAATAATAAATTTTTTGTCATTCCTTAAACATTTAAAGCCCCTGCATAGTTTCAGTCTTGGGCATAGGTTGGATCATCTGCATAAAGGACAATGACAGGTTTTACCTAGGCTTCTGCCATGATTTCAAAGTTTGCAACCATCTTGTATCTTTGGAAAACTGCAGTTTTATCTGCTGACCATTCTTTTTCACCTCTAACTCTTACCTCCACTAATGAACTATTATATTTTCTGCATGCTTGGAAAGCCAGGTAGAATGTTCAATTATTTACAACATCAATCTGATATTCTAAAAAATTTCTCCATCATTGAAAGATATTTGTCATTAAAATAAAGAGTTTGTATTGTATCAGAATTCATGAAAATGTAAATAATTGTGAAGTCATTCAATTAATTTTTTACAGTAATTCTTTTCAATATTTTGAGATGGCAAATATCTTCTTTAATCATACAAACTCATGCTTACTTAGATTGTTTTCTGCTTTTATATAGTTTTGCTGAAATTGGTTACTTTGTTTCAGTTGCTTGTACAATAAAAAGATTGACATTAAAAATTCATAAAGCTATTATTTGCTTCAGGTTTTTAAGGAATTACATAGATTCACATTAAATACAAAATGTATTGAACATGAAAATTATGTTGGACTTTTTTATTCAGAATGTAAAATAAAATAGTAGTTGGATGAGTAAGGTCTGGAATCAAAATAATTTGAATCTATAGTCTGCTTTTTCTAAATGTATAATATAAGCCAATGATTTAGCTTTTGTGAGACAGAGTCAGTGGGAATTATAGAGGAGAACCTACCTCATAGGTGGTTGTGTTCATTAAATGCAATATACTATGTAAAGCACTAAGAAGAGTTCTGGGCACATAAGTCTGTGTTCATTTTTTTA